AATGTTTAATCAAACAAAAAACAAAAACAAAAAAAACAGGTGGCATGGGAGTGGAGATGTAGCAGTTACAGCGAGCAATATTTAAAATACTTTGAATTCAAGCCAGTGTTGGAAACATTGTGATGATCAGGGTAAGCTTTGGCAGTTAAGAAGAAAATCATGTCATTTTTTCTGAGTTATTTTTTAAAGTAACATAAACCTTTTTTTAGGACAAAGCAACTGAAACCGTTCAAGCAAGACATCTTCATTGTCAACCAGAAAGGTGTGGAGAAAACTCTTAAGATAAGGCGTCCTTGAGCTAGTTTTTAACTTTTCTAGTTCCGGGTTGGTGTCCTGAAACTTTTTAATGTGTGTCTGCTTTAGCATTCCAGAGTAGAATAATAATGTCATTAGCAGATGTCCGTTGTGCTGGACCAGAGGCATTTCTGTAAGTTGCTGGACACCAGCCCTTGAGGTCAGGTTCTGAGGATTCCTGGGGTTGGCAATTTTTTCATACTCCTTTGGATGTCCATCGTATTTTGCATGCTCTTCGTAACACTTCCTGTAAGTGTCACATTTTCTTTCTTTTTCATGACTAAAAACTATACAAAATACTTATTTGGTGTCAATATACAAGGATTGTGTGAAACTAGTAATAGCAAAAGGCAAAAAAAGAAATAAAAATTCAAGGGTAGTAAACAAGCAATATTTATGGTCCACAAAGAATCTATATACAGAATCCACAGTTAGATTATTGGCTTTGTCTCACAAATAATCTGATAATACATTTTAGCCTATGACTTTCAATTAAAGATATTAACCTAGGTAGCTAAAGTTGTTTTTAACGAAACATTGGAGCTCAACTTTTCTTCTTGTTACTTGTCTTTATTCAGAAAATACATGCCTTTGTCCTTTTGAATTCTACAGCACATCCTTTATGGTAAAGCAATGCCACATTTTAAGTTTGAAGACAGTGGGTTCCAATCATCTTTGATGATGAAGAACAGCTGGACAAAATCATGAAGTAGCCTACCTAGTAGTAGTAGAGGCAAAATACAGGCAGAGAAAGCTAGCAGGCTGTGGCTGTTCATTGGAGCTCTGCCGCTGGTCCTGCAGAGCGCAAAGTAAACATAAACAATGAACCTAGACAATAGCAAGATCCTATGGCAAGCCGTTTTGACGATTATTAAAGGTACACTATGCAACCGGTGTTGATTTTCCAGCGAGGCTCCCCCCAGAGGGCGAAAGTAAAAGTGCACTGTCGTAAATATGCACAGCTGTTCTCCTGGTTTCTCCGTCAAGCCAGGCGCGGTTGTTTTGAGCTTAGCAGACAGGCCAACGCAACGAATGACTAATGCTGCGTTCACACCGCAGCTGGCGCGACAGAAGCAGCGAGTTTACATGCAAAGTCAATGGTGGACGCGCGTCAAGGCGCAGAAAAAGGTCCCGCGGCGCGTTTTGAGCAGCAGGCGCAGCTCGTCTGAGCAGCTGAAGCAGCGCGTCGGGCGCGTTTAATCATCTGACGCAGGGAGAGAGACACAGCGCTGATGATCACTCCTCTTAAACAGTTTATTGACGCCTAAATTAACTTAAAATGCAGAAATTTGCCGGCAGAATATGTTGGCTTTTATTATCCTGCTGCCTGCAGTTTGGATTATTTAGATGAAAAACACCTACCAGCCGCCACGGTGAACCGCGAGGAGGCGACCCGGCCAGAGGCTGCTGATGAAGGGTTTCCTACTGTCGGCGCACTGCTGGTATGTGGGGGTCTGAGCGGCTCCGACAGAAAAAATATTGAAGGCAGGATAATAATCTGAATGAACTGACTGCACTGATTACGTTTTCAGGTGTATTTTCTCACTTAAACACATATTAAAACTACTTTATTCCCACTGATCACAGCAAATATAGCTGCAAGGCAGATAAAGGATAGTGAAGCTCCGCCCAACGCGCGTCAGACACACTTTTGCACCGCACAGCCAGAGCAGCAAAGCTGCTTCAGCCGCGCGTCAGAACTAACTGGTACAAGCAGCAAAAATGAAGCAGCAGACGCGATTTTGCTGCGTCCGATGTGAACGTAGCATAACTGCACAAAGATCGCCACTGTGCTAGCAACGAGCATGCTTTTAACTGGGGGCGTGTAGCAGTTCTCGCCTTAAAGCAAGACCGACTCTCGCAAGACTTCTGAGCCTGTGGGTGCGGGTCGGTGCTCCTGCAATTGCAAGTGCGGTATTTCCCCCACAGACCACCAGGGCGGCCAACAATACCTTTGTTCAACCTGAAATGACTCATTTAATCATCCAAAACGTTATGGAACACATTAATTAACTGAAAAATGTTGCATAGTGTGCCTTTAACTTGCTTGAATACGTAATACAGATGTCTCAAATGCATTTCTTCCTAGTCAGAATGAACTTTTCAGATATCTAAAATAACATTCTTCCCATCTAAAATAAATATTTCAAATATCTGAAATGTAATTTTAGTATTATACATGACATCACCTTTCCTATTTTTGTGTATTGGGCTTTTACTCTCAAATATGTAAAATAAACATTCTTCCTATCTAAAAATGAATTCTGGCAAGGATAAACTCTAATTTCAGATCTCAATAATATAGTTACTGCAAGTTATGACAATTTAAGATATTATTAAAAAGTGCCACTAAATACATTTACTCTTTTTTTTGTTAAACTAATTACTAGTTGCAAATAGTAAGAGAAAGTCCCAGTCTGCGTAAATGGATTCAGCTTGAACAGTTTATACATGTAAGTTATCTTTTTTATAGTTTAGGCAGCTCCGATCCAGCAGTCCTGTTTTAAACAGTGGAGAGTTTGGGGGGAAACACAAACTAATGTCAGAATACAGATCTACACTATATTGCCAAAAGTATTTGCTCACCTGCCTTGACTCACATATGAGCTTAAGTGACATCCCGTTCCTAATCCATAAGGTTCAATATGACGTCGGTCCACCCTTTGCAGCTAGAACAGCTTCAACTCTTCTGGGAAGGCTGTCCACAAGGTTTAGGAGTGTGTTTATGGGAATTTTGTACCATTCTTCCAGAAGCGCATTTGTGAGGTCGCACACTGATGTTGGACGAGAAGGCCTGGCTCTCAGTCTCCGCTCTAATTCATCCCAAAGGTGTTCTATCGGGTTGAGGTCAGGACTCTGTGCAGGCCAGTCAAGTTCATCCACACCAGACTCTGTCATCCATGTCTTTATGGACCTTGCTTTGTGCACTGGTGCACAGTCATGTTGGAAGAGGAAGGGGCCAGCTCCAAACTGTTCCCACAAAGTTGGGAGCATGGAATTGTCCAAAATGTCTTGGTATGCTGAAGCATTCAGAGTTCCTTTCACTGGAACTAAGGGGCCAAGCCCAGCTCCTGAAAAACAACCCCACACCATAATCCCCCCTCCACCAAACTTTACACTTGGCACAATGCAGTCAGACAAGTACCGTTCTCCTGGCAACCGCCAAACCCAGACCCGTCCATCAGATTGCCAGATGGAGAAGCGCGATTCGTCACTCCAGAGAACGCGTCTCCACTGCTCTAGAGTCCAGTGGCGGCGTGCTTTACACCACCGCATCCGACGCTTTGCATTGCACTTGGTGATGTATGGCTTGGATGCAGCTGCTCGACCATGGAAACCCATTCCATGAAGCTCTCTGCGCACTGTTCTTGAGCTAATCTGAAGGCCACATGAAGTTTGGAGGTCTGAAGTGATTGACTCTGCAGAAAGTTGGCGACCTCTTCGCACTATGCGCGTCAGCATCCGCTGACCCTGCTCCGTCAGTTTACGTGGCCTACCACTTCGTGGCTGAGTTGCTGTCGTTCCCAAACACTTCCATTTTCTTATAATACAGCTGACAGTTGACTGTGGAATATTTAGGAGCGAGGAAATTTCACGACTGGATTTGTTGCACAGGTGGCATCCTATCACAGTTCCACGCTGGAATTCACTGAGCTCCTGAGAGCGACCCATTCTTTCACAAATGTTTGTAAAAACAGTCTGCATGCCTAGGTGCTTGAATTTATACACCTGTGGCCATGGAAGTGATTGGAACACCTGATTCCAATAATTTGGATGGGTGAGCAAATACTTTTGGCAATATAGTGTATGTGACCTCACCTTAAACTCTGATTTAGTTTTATCTTCTCTCTCTCCACAGAAGCTACATCTCTCCTAGCTTTCTGTTCATTTGTGAATCCTTCCTGCAGAGGATTATTGGCTGTGTTGCTGAGGACCTATTGTGTAGATCATAGACCAAAATTCTGCCTTAGTTTATCTGCTTAGCTGTTTTTATCACCTAGATGAAGCTACATCAGGAGCTACAATACTATTACAGTTAATGTTTTACTTTTTTCTCTTACCTAAAGTATTCCTGGTTCTTCTGTGCTGTTTTAGTGTGTGTGACTCTGTACTGTCTTCTCAACCTCCCTGTTTGTTCTGGCAGATGGCTGCTAACATCTTCCTCCTGTTAAAAGGGAGTTTTTCTCCTCACTGTCACCACCTGCAGGCCTCTAACTGATCATGTGGCCAGGCTACTTGGCCAGGGAGTTTATATCCCTTTGCCTGACTAGTCAGTGTGCATGGTGATCGCTCAGGGCCCTTGAGGGTCCGAATCCCAAAATGGCCCTCTGTTGTGCACCTTGCCACACTTAGAAAACCGTTGTCTGTCTGTATGATTAGATTGAAATAACTCTGTGAAGTGCCTTGAAATGCCATTTGTTCTAAAATGGTTCTAATTAAGTAAACTGATTTGGTTAGATATGCATTGCATTGCAATTGGACCCTCCATAAGCGTTAGTTCAAGAAAACCAGTAAAGCCCCGACATTATTATTCAGGATTAACGAAAGTAAATCTGTTATTTGCAATGTAACTTTATGCATTTGAAAAGTAGTTACAATCTCACTATTAAAGTCCTCTTACTTGAGACTTCATTTTTAATATTAAGCAATCAGAATCATTTTTATAAAAGTTGCATTTATTATTTAAAAATCAGCCAAAACACAAATGCTAATGATGATATTTTATTGAAATGAAAAAGATCAAAAAAAAAAAAAAAAGAAAAAAAAGAAAACACAACATAAATTCCTCCTGGTTGAAATCACCACTGTAGAATATGTGTTGTACAAAGCTTTAAGAACAAATTATTGCAAAAAAAAAAAAAAAAAAAGCTTACATGTTGGAAGCAAAATCAGAAACTTAAAAGCACTGATACCGAAATGATGGTTGCATTGCTACATATACTTAACATGATCTGATAAAGCAGAACGGTAGGCAGCTTCTAGATCTCTAGACCAGGGACTGACTCTCCAGGTAATTGATCATCTTCACCACCCAGAGCTGCTTAGGGTTCACACAGATGGGGCGGGATCGTTTTGTTATTAAGCTGAAAGGAAAAAAATATATAGTGTTTGCCAAATATAAATAATGTTTAATGAACTACAAATTTAAGAAAAAAAAAAAAGAAAAGAACAAATTACTATCTAACAGAGAATGAAAGAAACTAAGGTTCTGGTACTTACACAACTGCATTCAAGTGGCACCGAGGATCAGTCTTGAAATACGAAGAGATCAGCTCATTGTGTATGGGACTTGGAAAGTATTCAAAGCAGCACATATCAGGAGCACTTCCACCTGAAAATAACAGCGTTAGGTAATTTAATATCAGCTGAGTGGAGAAGTGGCATCTCTAAGTGAAATAAACCTCAACATTCTTACTGTTGCAGAGGACTGTAGACAGCAGGGCGGCTCCCAGGATGCAGAGCAGGTAGATATGAGCAACCTTCATGATGATGGGATCTGGTAGATGAGCAGAGGAGCTGTGCCTTCTAAACAGACAAGGGGCTAATGGTGCATTTATCGAGATGATAACATTTAAATGTGTCAGAGGTGTTAAAATAAATGGGGTTTTGTGGTTGAACAGGAAATAAATGTCAAAGATGGTGAAACTTTCTACTTGGTTTTGCAGGTCGGTAAATTTAAAAGGAAACCCTACTGTGGTTAGAGCAAGTGTGCATTCAAACAACAATGTGTATGACTCATTTAGAAATAAAAAGGGAAAATCTATTAGACTTAAAACAGGATATTTTATTTCATATGTTTATTGAAGTTTATAATAGTTGTTAAATGAATTAGGCTTTAAAAAAGGCTTAATTACTGCTATCATAATGAAATGCTATGAATTGAAATGTCAGCTTTCTTTATTACTGGACTGATTGGATCCCAGAGGTAAAGTTCAGACCATTGAAAGTAGATCTCATCAGCAGTCAAATTAACCTCAATCCAGAGGCAGCTGTGATCATAGCTCGAGACTTGAATGATGTAGAACTAAAATTTGTTCTGCTCATTTTTATAAACCTATAAAGTTTCCCACTAGATAGAGAGAAAAATATTTCACCAGGTGGACAGTAACTTTACAGGAGCGTTCAGAGCAGCACGTGGTCTTAACCTTGGAAAGTTGCATCACATCTCTGAGAATCCACAAAACCAAACTCACCATCAGAAGCGTCCAGGTTTGGACTGAGGAGGCGCTCTCAGCCTTACTGGCCTGATTAGAAGTTATTCATAGACGACGCTGGTCTCTATGCTTGGGTTGCCAACCGTCCCTTGAAAAACTGAATCATTACGTATTTAGAAACAGAAATACTTGTTCTGTATTTAGTGGAAAAGGAACACACTTTGTTCCGTTTACTGTGAGAGTAAAAAAAACCTAATGGAAAATGAAGAACAAGGGAATGTCAGATACAAAACTTACGGTAAACTTGTTCCCGGGCCCCTTTCCTGCATTGTGACCAATTAGCTGACATCACATATGTAACGATCCGGAATACCCTCATCCTCATTATGATTTATTTTTTCAGTTTTACAACTGTAGCCTGCATTTAAGGCACAAATATGCATACAAGTTTGCACAAGATTGCTGTTGCACCAAAAATGTGCACTATTTATTTATTGTTTTATATTCATTTAAGTTGTTTGAGTTAAGCAGGACAAGCTTATGTCTAAGATACTTATTTAATTCAGCAAAGTTTTTTTTTTGTTATTAAAGTGAATTGCTGAATAATAATTTGTTTTCCATGTGTTCATGTCACTCACAATTATGCATCTAATTCAATGCATGTTTGAGTCAAACAGTTAAAAAAAATCTTTTCACACATAAAAGGAGGCTAAAGAAAAATCACGCAAGGAGGAGTAAAGGATATCGGGTAAGCTGCCCTGTTTTTGTTTTCAGGGAGTTGGCAACCCTACTCTATGCTGTCCGGCTTCTTATTTGTCCAATACATTTAGGTTTGTTCAAGTTCATTTTCGTAAGCCTCAAACTTAATATTCCTTACGTTCAAGGCTTACTTGTGGTGTACTACAGGGCTCATTGCTAGGGCCAATTGGTAAAATTATCGGATAGTATGGACCCAATTTCCCATTTCCGATTAATCTAAGCTCCTGTTTACCTTCCTTTCATTTGCTCCCTGTTAAATCAGGAACATAATTCAAAATTCTCACTCTCAGGTAGAAAGCCATTAATAACCAAGCTCTATCTTTTATCAGAAATCTAATTCTACATTATGATCCTAACATAGCACTACCTTCCTAACCTGACTCCGCCAGATGGATTTGCTGCGCATATCCATCTGGAAACCTTCCGTTGAAGTAATTTTGGGAAGGGGCGAAAATACTGGTTAGCTGATTGGCCTATGTTGGTGATAGACGGGCCAAATAAACCAATCAGATCAACGAAGCATATGACGTACTAACAGAGCGACGACGAAGAGGAGCCAATTGATAGATCAAACTCTTGCCGAAACCAGTCGGGAGAAGAGCAAAAAAATCTTTTCCTCTGAGAAAAGCCTCCAGAGCAGTGTTTTGCTCTTCTTTCAGTGAAGAAATACTCTGTAATTCCGATAAAACTTGCTTGATAGCCACGCTAACGCTAGTTTCATTGGCTGAAGCCGCCATGTTCTTTAGACTCAACTGTCGCGCTTCTCGTTGCGTCACACCTCAACCCGCCTCAAAGCCAACGCTGATTGGACGTTCATTTGGTGAACGGCTCCAAATTTTCTTTAACGGAGAGTCTCCAGACTGATCTGCGAGTGAAACCTTGAAAGCTCGCGAGATCAGGATGGTCTCACGAGGCTACTACCTTCCCAGACTGCACGTTTGTCAGTAGCTCCTAGAATTTCTAAAAGTAGAACCAGGCCCCTCTCCTGTGTATCTAACTGCCAGTTTAAGTCCATGAGGTAGACACGTGTCTACTTTTTAGATCAGGCTTTCTTATTTACCTTTTATTAAAGAAGATTTTCTTGTCAATGTCCCGCATAAAATCAGCAAATTTAAAAATCACAGGATAACACAAATACACACTTGCAATTTTTAAATTTCAATTTTCAATTCAGTTTATTTATATAGCACCAATTCACAACACATGTCATCACGAGGCACTTTACAGTTCAACCAGATCATACAATCAAATTGATTAAAAGTTTTCTATCTAAGGAAAACCAGTTTATTGCATCGACTCATTGACTGAATCCCTCACCTTAAGCATGCTTGTAGCGACAGTGGAGAGGAAAAACTCCCTTTCAACAGGAAGAACCCTCCAGCAGAACCAGGCTCAGTGTGAGCGGCCATCTGCTGAGACCGACTGGGGTTCACGGAGACAGAAACAGAGACACAAAAAGTAACTATAAAGGTAGCCCCGTCCAGGAATCACACAGCCAGGCAGATGAGCTCCGAGCCAGCTCCCATGTCACAAGATGAAGAGAGCACATCCAGCCAGTCACAGTCAGAGAAACAGAACTACACTGGTAAAACAGGCCAATCTCCAACATCTAATTTACTTACACATCCTTGGACGCACACACAACACAAGAAGCAGCGGATGTGGAACTAAACCAAAGATACAAAACAGAATATGTCTTCAACCATCCTTCCACTGAACTGCCATCTTTGGAATGAAGGAAATTAACAAGGAACATGACTGAGCAAAAACTCCAGCCTGCAATACCTACCGCTAACCAAAGGGGGCGCTACTTTTACATACTACAAATTAAATAGTTCTAAATAAATTACTCAAAAATCCCAAACCCATAGTTGTTTAATGCACTATGTCCTCCAGAAGTCTAAGCCTATAGCAGCATACCTATAGAGAAAGCTCATAATCTATAGTATGATCAACTGTGTCAAATGCAGCACTTTGATCTAACAGGACAAGTACAGATACAACTCCATTATCTGAGACCATAAGAATATCATCAGTGCATATAGTCCATTAGTGCATATCTGCCTTGCCTGTCACCGGATGAGATATTGAGTAGAGCACTGTTATGCCTCATAGAGTCCTGCTGTTATTGGTTAAGACCACGTGGTCTTTTTGGCTTTATAGCCAATGAAATAAGGTTTCAAATAAATAAAATACATAAGACTAGTGTTACCGGCTTGCATATGAGTAAAATATACTGCTGAGAATGGATCAGCGCATGCAGTTTGAAGCAGATTATTACTAAGAATGCTTCGACATTTTTGAAGTTGGGATGTTGATTTTTTTTGTATTACAAACCTAAGACTGAAAAAAAAAAAACTAATAAAATACAGTTCAAAAAAGGCACTGGAGCTTATTTTACCTTGAAGAGCAATAGTTTCACAATTGCTTATAGCCTTTTATAAGATTATTTGTTCAACCAATCATTTGGCAAAATCAACCAATCTCCAGTGTTTTTACTAGTGTTGCACCGATACCGATACCAGTATCGGACGGGGCCCCGATACCCTAAAATCTTGGTATCAGTATCGGCGAGTACCAACAAATATGGCATCGATACCATTTTGAAAGCCATAAGTTTCTTCAACTATTGTCACCCACTCCTGGTAGGCAATAAAAAGTTCTACTGGATTCACTTTGTATTAGATTTTTTCCTGCTTCACAAAGGTAGGCAGCAGCTCGACAAAGCCATGATGCCAATTATTTTACATTATTATGATATCGGTATCGGCCGATACTGCACAGCCAGGTATCGGGTATCGGGGCCAAAGCCCCTGAGCATGCGTAGGTTCTCTCCGGGTACTCCGGCTTCCTCCCTCCAGTCCAAAAACATGACTGTTAGGTGAATTGGCTTCTCTAGATTCTCCTTAGGTGTGAGTGTGAATGGTTGTTTGTCCTGTTTGTCTGTGTGTTGCCCTGAGATGGACTGGCGACCTGTCCAGGGTGTACCCCGCCTCTCAATCATTGACAGCTGGAGATAGGCACCAGCACCCCTCGCGACCCCACTCAGGACAAGCGTGTCAGATAATGGATGGATGGATTTGCATTGTGCATTGATCGGAAAACATTCCAATTTCTCTAAATCAGTGAAAAGCTAATTTGATCATATCTCAAATTCTTCCAGATAAACCAAAGTTTATCTGGAAGACACAGAATGCATCTGAAACTGTAATATGGTTTTCAACCATGTTTCCCCTTCCTCTTTGTACATAGTAGTTTAGTTTAGTTTAGTTGAGTTTTACTACACTTAGTTGAGAGTTTTAAACTGGAATATGTTGACTTGGAACTAAATTATTTTTGTTAATAAACTTATATTTTGAACAGATGTTGTGGTGAATTTATTTCATGTAGGTGCAGAATTAACTGTTTGACCATGATTAGTGCTCGAATCACTCTTTCATCTATTGTTCTAACACATAGTTAGTAGGACTGTGTGTCATAAAGACAGCCCTATAAACATCTTAAAGTATCAGAAATATAAATTCCCAGTTGAACAGTCACTATGTCCGCAAACTCATAATAGCCATACCTTTTTGGGGACTGTCTGACTCTGCCACATTCTCTCGGCGCTTTGTTGACTGCTGTTACATCAACTGATGCTCCTATCTTATC